TCCTTCTTCCTCTTTCTTGGCTTCCGAGCCACCATGAGGTGAGCAGATTCCTCTGCCACAGGTTCCCCTCCAGGTGTAAGTCTTTGTCACAGGCCCCAAAGCAATAGGGTCAAGTGACCAGGAAGTGAAATCTCTGAGACAATAAGCCAAAACAAACCCTTTCTCTTTATAAGCTATTCACTACAGTAATGGTCTCAGCTATTCACTATAGTAACAAAAGCGAGCACAGTAATCTACTCGTGGGAAGTCTGTGTTTGATAATTTGGAAATGTTGAGACCAGAGGATCTTTAGGGCCCCTTCTAGTTCTCACAGTCGGCACCACCATAAACCAACTCTTTTATAAAAATGTTATTTCTCTATTGGCATTTGGACATGTCTGTATATTGTATAACAATGTACCTTGATCAGACACAACCCCCTCCACCTCAACCAATCTCAACTGGCTTCACTGTTCCATTTGCACATGTACATGAAATATTCTGACCATATTCACCTCCCTCACCCTTTCTGTTCACCCTCCCCTTCCCACTGTACCTACACTCCGATCGGCTGTGTTTCACTTTTCTAATATTCTTTTTGTTTTGTTTTGGTCTGTTGTGGGGATTGAACTCAGGGCCTGGGCATCTTTATGCTCAAGGCTAGCACCCTACCACTTGAGCCACAGCACCACTTGTAGTTTTTGAGTGGTTTAATTGGAGATATGAGTCTCACAGGGACTTTTCTTGCCTGGGGTTGGCTTGGAACCATGATCCTTAGATATCAGCTTCCTGAGTAGCTGGGATTACAGGTGTGAGCCAAGGGCACCCAGCTTTAACATTCATTTTTAGTAAAGAGCACGTTAATTGTGTAAAGGAGCTTTCACTGTTATTTCACACATACAGTTGACACACTTTAATCAGATGGGCCTTTCCTCCCCCACCTACTCTTGCATTCCTCAGACCTCTACCCTTATCACTCAACAGCTTTGGGTGAATTTTGTTCTGCTGCCTGAATTCAAATATGCAAAGTATTTCGGTATTGAGGAGCAATCCCTACTAAAGTTATTTAAAAAAAAAAACAAAACTAGCATATTCAGATATATACACCTAAGTTTATCACTCTAGATTGTTTATTTGTCAAATGTGTGTGTGTTTTCATAATACTAGATGGTTGAGCTAAGAAAATAACTTCACAACTAAAATGGAGTGCAGTCTATTCACAGAGCCCTCGGGTGAGAAAAGAAAGGGCAGAGCATTGTCAGCACAGGAAATGTGAGAGCAAGGATAAGGGAATTCATATTCATGTATTAACCCAATTACCAAATGCACCTTGCCAATCCGGAACACTATGGGTTTAAAATGGGATTTCACATCATTTCGTCCCAAGTGACACAGAGAGTATTATTAATGAAACATTCTTTCCCCAGGCAAGGCTCCGGTGGAGCTCCTCTCAAATGCAATCACAAGAGAGCCTTTATTTAAGGTTGGAAATTCTATTTACCCAAGAGCCCGGATGACTATTTCTCTGCTCTTGCAAAACAAACAAACAACAAAATAATACCCTGGCAAAGTAGATGCAAAAACTAACGGAAGGGATTGGAAAGAAATGTGAAATCAGGAATGCAGGTCCAGGTGGACCAACTTGCATTAGAAACATAGCCATAACGTATTTTTCTCTGCTGCTAAAAAAGAAAAAGGGAGGCTACATGTATCAATGTGACAAATGAAACATGGAAATTAAGGTGTAGATGTGGATGTGTACTAGGTTTGAATTCAGGGCCTCTCTCTTGATAGGCTGATGCTCTACCACTTGAGCCATGCCTCCATCCCTGCTTTCTGCTGTTTCTTTAAGAGGTCCTTGTAAACTCTCCAGGCTGTCCTCAAACCACAATTCTCCTCCAGATTTCAGCCTCCTGAGTAGCTACGATTATAGGCATGAGCCATTAGCATCCAGCTTGCATGCATACATTTTGAACAGAGTAGGCTTTGTTGTGTGGCTTTACTTTGGGCACAAGAGAACTCCTCAATAAGTGTGATTTAAGGAAATGAACCCTGAAGTTCAATAACAACAAAACTCTGGTATCAGCACTGAGGATCCATCCAGGGATGGATGGATCCTGTGTTTTCACAGGAGAGCTGGGCACTAGTGACTCATGCCTGTAAATCTTAGGTACAGGAGACTAAGATTGGGAGGATCAAGGTTTGAGGCCTGCAGGGGGGAAAAACAGTTCAATAGGAAAAGCCGGTGTGATGGTATGTGCCTGTCATCTTAGCTACAGCAGGAAGTACCTGTCCTCCCATTCCCCTCTCCTTCCCCCTGCAGTGCTGGGGTTTGAATTCAGGGCCTTGTACTAGCTAGAGAGGGTCCTCTACCACTTCAGCCTTGCCCAACGTCCCTTTCTGCTTTCTTTTTCTGATGAGTCACGTGGGTTGGTTCGTTGGTTGGATGGTTTGTTTTTGTTTTTTCCTCAGGCTTGGATTGTGATCATCCCACTTCTGCCTCCCATGTAGCCGGGACAACATGCACAGCTTTTTTGTTGAGCTGGAGTCTCGCTAACTTTTTGTTCAGGTTGGTCTTGAGCCTTGATCCTTCCATCTCCACTCCTGAGTATGGCTAGGATTACAGGTAGGAGACACTGTGACTGGCTCCTCCTTTACATTCCCTATTCCACAGTTTGATAATGTTTCACCAGGAATCTGGAAGAAGCTATTCCCTAGGGTGTTGGGTAATTTCTATGTTACACTTGGTTTATTAAAAAATAAACAGAACAGCTGAGCACCAGCAGCTCATGCCTGTAATCCTAGCTACTCAGAAAGCGAAAATCTGAGGATTATAGTTTGAAGCCAGCCTGTACAGGAAAGTCCATGAGACCCTTATCCCCACTTACCAGCAAAAAGCAGTTAGCAGAACTGTGGTTCAGGTGGTAGAACACCAGCCATGAGCAAAAAATGCTACGGGACATTGATCAGGCCCTAAGTTCAAGCCCCAGTACCAGCATCGCGCATGTGCGCGTGCGAGCCCGCGCGCGCGCACACACACACACATATGCACGCAAGCATGCACACACCGACATGCACATATACACTTGGGATGGGCACTGTTCTAGACCAATGGATCTTATGAAAAAGCTGATTCTGAGTCAGAAATTTTCAGTGGGGCTTGACTTTATTTTAACTAGCCCCCAAGGGGCACAAACACTGCTGGCCTGAGACTACCTGGAGTACTAAATTTCTAGGCACTTGGGATATATAATAGGCAGGCAAAATAAAGATCCTTTGACCTTGGGGAACTTCTCATCTGTCTGGAAGCAAACTGAATTCAAAGAAGGCTAAAGTCAGAGCCCTCAGAGTCTTAGAAAAATCCCAGCTGCAAGAAAGCTTAGGGGGTTAATCTAATCAAAGCCCAATTTAGGGTGTGGAGACACTGCTGGTTACAGTGGGGAAGGCAGTTAGTCAAAGTCCCTCTGTTTGCTGTGACAGCTTTAGGACAAGGCTATTTGACCCCCCCATTCCTCTGAGTTACCAGTGTCCTCAGCCACCTCATGGGGGGAGGGGCAGAGCCCCAATCATGGAGGAAAGTCTGTCACAGGAGGGTCCCACTGTCTAGATTTGCTCTGTATCTGTTTAGTGACATACGAGGAAATATGGAATTAGATCCGCCCCACCTACCTTTGTTTTTCTGCATTACTAACTGTGAAGCAAGGATGAGCCAGAGTAGAACTACTCAGGAGCAAATTCAGAGGGCTGGCATTCCATCACAACACTACACCGAGTGAGGAGTTACCACCCATTAAATTAGATCAATTGGAGCCTGTTCCTAGTTTGGGAGTGGGATAACAACTCCTGACAGCATCTGAGGGGGCTCCTGGGCTTTGGCTTAGAAAACCATTACGCATGACACACCAAAAAGCAATCCCTTCCTCTACTCACTTCCAGGATCTGGGACACAAACTTTTCCATTCATGCCAGTTGTATTAGAGCAGGAGCAAATTTCACCGAGGAACTAGAAATGCAAACAGTGGGGGGTACACCAAACACTAATAATGTAACAAAGGCAGGACAGAGAAACTTTAGTACTTTTTGATGTCACTTTATTATTTATCCCTTTGCCAATATTCAAACAGCAGGCAGGCAGCAATAAACCATTGAGAAAGAGAGGAGGGGTTGGGGGGAAGAGTGTCTCTGTACAACAGATATCTGACATATGGTTTACCTCAGTTCCTTCTGGGAAATCTGGAAGTCAGATGCCCTGGCATTTATAGAGTATAACAATGTTAAAAATGACTTGTATCCAAAGTATTGCTTGATGGTCTGACTTAGAAAGAGGTCTGTTCAAGTTTTATGGAAGGCTAGTATGCAGGCAGACAATGTTTTGATAAGACAGGGTGCAATGAAAGTTTAAAAAAAAAGGCTGTCTCCAATTTCTTTTCTTTTTCTTTTCTTTCTTTGTATGCTGGTACTGAAGCTTGAACTTGGGGCCTCACATGGACTTGCTTAGCCTTTTCTGCACAAGGCTGGTGGTTCTACCACTTAAGCTGCACTTTCACTTGTTTTTTTTTTTTTGTTTGTTTGCTGGTGTCCCTTGGATTCATCTGCCTGGGCTGGCTTCAAACTGGGATCCTCAGATTTCAGCCTCTGGAGTAGGTGTGATTACAGGTGTGAGCTGCTGGTGGTGCCTGACCGGTTGCAAATTTTTGACCCCTCATTTAGGATGATTCCATTTGAAACAAGGATGTTCGCAAGGGTCAGTAGTTAGCATCCTGTCACATCCTGCCAATCTAGACCAGCAGGCTGTACTTGTTCCTTTAAAAAACGTCCTCCAGCAATTCTGACCTGACCCTCAGGGGTCCACCATTAAAACGATATTCAGCGTGCATCCCATAATTTCCATTTACACAAAATAAGAGGGTCTCCTCTTCCAGTGGCCTAATCCTAAAGACCTGCTAGCTACACAGAGATGGAATTGTATGATGGCAGAAATGTAAAAGCCAAACATCCAAGCAAAACCAAATCCTAGGGGGTGTAGAGACGTGGCTCAGAGAGAGAGAGAGGTGTGTGTGTGTGTGTGTGTGTGTGTGTCCTAGCTTGTGTTTCCTTTGCTCCGCTGGCTGCTTCTGTCTTTCCAGGAACTGTCCATGGTGTACAGGCGGTGGTGTTTAATGTAGGCAATGACGGCGTCAGGCAGCAGGTACTTCACACTCTGTCCTTGACTCAGCGCTCGCCGGATGTATGTGGCACTGATCTCATTCTGCACGGGCTCCTGGGCCAGGTAAATATTGTGCTGGTACTGCCGGAGGATGGGCAAGTCTAAGATGTACTCTTTGGGGTCATGACCCGCCCGGCTCACACACACTAGGCCAAACTTCTCCACAATTTCCCGGATGTGTACATCCTTCCAGAGGTTGGGGGTATGGAAGGTCTTTAAGATGTCTGCCCCACAGAGGAGTTTCAGTTCAGGCACAGCTGCAAAAACAAGGGTGGATCCCAGCAAAGTTACCAGAGGAGAAGGGGGGGGGGTGAGGGCGAGGGGCGGAGAATATATCACTGCCAGGAAAGATCATGTGACATTCTGCTGGGAAATCTCACCAATGATTTTCTTGGAATGGGTGTTTGTGACTTAAAATGGGCGTACAGGAATCTGAAGTGATTTCAGGGTGTACAGTTGTAACTAATGATTGAACCAACATATCTTTTGTTTAGTATCGGTCAAAGTAGCCAAGTAATACAAAAAGAATTTTTTTTCCTCTGTGAAACAGCAGGCGTCTGTTACTGTGGCGCGCGCGCGTGCGTGCATACGTCCGCGCTAAGGCAGAGAACTCCAGAGGTGAACATGCTGTCTCCTAAAGTCTACTTCCTGATGGAAGGAAAGGTCTTTAAAGCCCTACAACCAAGTTGTGACCCCTGAACGGTTTACTGCCCTCTGTTGTCCATTTCAGTCCCAGCCCCATTGTTATCAGATAGCAGGTCCTGGCACTTTTATATAAAATCTCCTCGTAAGGACTAATTATAAAAGCTGTATAGATAAACAAGATTTCTAAGACCCCTCCCACCCTGGCCTAACACATTTGTTTCCAATAGAGAAAGCAAAGCTGGAGAACAACTTATCAATGTGGGGATAATTCTTTGTTATTTATTCCAACACAATGCTGATTGCAGATGATAAAAACGTTTGTGCTTATAAGTTGCTTAGCATAACACTATTACTAAGTGCTTTATGTGTAGAATGCCATATGACCCTCAAAATGAGTATATGAAGAAATCACAGTTGTGACCACTTTGCACAGAAGGAAACCGAGGCAGAGAGGGAACCGAGGTCTTTAGCTCCTTAGGCAAGACTCCAGGCTTGGGGGGATTGGGAGGTACCAGCAACTGCTAGGGTCTGTCGCTCCCTGCTGGTAGGAATCTGTATGTGCACCATAAATGGAAGCCCTGGCCCAGTACATGCCCTTCTTGGGCTGAAGAGCAAAACCAGGTACACACTAGAAGCATGCTGTCGGACTTCTGCTCTTTCTGGAAGCAGAGCCCAGCTTCAATTTATGAAGGCTAGGGCTCCTTGAAGGTTGGTTTCTTTGTTACCACCAAGCCTAGGTAAAGAGAGGGATTCAGAGCTACCATACCTTGGGGAAGGGCTTGGTGTGAACATCGGGGTTCCTCTGTGGTGAACCAGAGGATTATTCAAGATGTGGGAGGAGATGGATTTTGCTGCTGCAAAATGGACAGTGAGAGGCTGGCAAAGTCATGGGTAGTGAGTCTGAGGTCTGCCTCAGTTGGGTACCTATTGTGTGGGGCTGGAACCACGACTTCTTCTCTGGGCCTCAGTTTCGCCCATTCAAAATACAATAGGCACTAGACTCATTCAAATCAACAGATGTGATTACAGGAACACACCTTCCAAGTAACTCTAGCAGCTTGACACCAGTTGAATAAACAATATGCGAACATTCCTTCCTTCCTGCATGCTTGGATTCTTAGGTGTTAACAAACTAACACTTTAGAGTCAGACTTATTAAGAGTCAGGTTCTGCTTCTGCTATTTAGTTAACTCGTGTGACCTCAACCTTAAAATGAGGAGGCCAATGATACTGACCTTATAAGGTTATTCTAAAATCGTATTAGAACAGTATTTGGCACATAGAAAGGGATATATATTTCAACTGCTTTTTATTCACCTATTAACTTGTTTATCTAGCAACCCACTTATCAAATAATCATTCAACATTTATGAATTATCTCTTAAACATATGGACTTTTAAAAGATCAACAGAATTGTATGTACAAAATATTTGATCACTTGCAGTTTTTACTAACTTGGGCTGGTCTCATTATGCAGCATGTATATGTGGATGAATACTGGACTACAGACAGCTCTGAGGTTTTACTCTAATTTCTTTTTTTCCTTACTTCTTATTGTTATTATAAAGGTGATGTACAGAGGGGTTACAAGTACGTAAGTCAGGATATGAGTACATTTCTTTTTGGACAATACCACCATTTCCCATGCTCTCTCCTAGTTTTTCCCACCCGTCCCCACCCACAATTTGCATAGTTCATTTTCAACACAGTGACTAGAGAAAACCACTGCTGCATTCCTCTCTGTGTCCCCCCTTTACCCTTCCAAAAGGCAGATACATGAACAAGCAAGACAAAAAGAAAAAAATAACAAAAATACCGGAGTTCATTTTGGTAAGTATTATTTTTATATAATCAGAGGCACATAGGCATTGTGCCTCTATGTTCCTCTCCTAAGAATATTTTCCTTTGGTCTCACTGTGTGTGAATGACTAGAGTCCGGTATAATTTATCATGTCCCAATGTATTTTAGATTAAGCTTCCACATATGAGAGAAAACATGCACCATTTGTCTCTCTGAGCTTGACTTACCTCACTTAACATGGTTTGTTCTCGGTCTATCCATTTCCCTGCAAATGGTGTAATAGTATTCTTTCTAATGGCTATGTAAAATTCCACTGTGTATAGATACCACATTTTTTTTTGGATCCTCTCATCTATTATAGGGCATTTGAGCTATTTTTACAACCTGGTTATTGTGAATAGAACAGCAATGGACATGGATGTGCAAGTGTCTTTATGGTATCCTGGCTGGTGATGCTCTGGCTGGTATGGCTGGATAATAGGGAAGATCTATGTTGAGTTTGTTTTGTTTTGGTCAGTCGTGGGGCCTGAATTCTGGGCCTGGGCACTGTTCCTCAACTCTTCAGCTCAAGGCGAGTGCTCTACCACTTGAGCCACAGCGCCACTTCCGGCTTTTTTCTTTTTGCTAAGGAATCGAACCCAGGGCCTCATGCAGGCAAGGCAAGCGCTCTAACACTGAGCCACCTTCCCAGCCCTATGTTGAGTTTTTTGAGGAACCTCCAGACTGCTGTCCAGGATGATTATACTAGTTTACATTCCCACAAACAGTGCAAGGAGGGGTTCCTTTCTCCCCACGTCCCTGCCAACATTTGCTGTTATTCGAATTCATGATACTGGCCAATTTAACTGGAGTAAGATGAAATTTCAGAGTTGTCTTAATTTTCATTTCTTTTATGGCCAGGATGTTACTCTAATTTCTTATTTACCCAACCTCTGTAGTAGAGCAGGAGACTAGGGTCTGATCTGTCAAACAATTAGGTCTTCCCATGGGGGGGGGGATGGTTAGGTGATAGACATTTAATTCCAGGTCTCCTAGGAGCCCAGAATACACCTCTGCTATTCCCCTAGGTCAGAGAATAGAGAAGACACCCCTGTTATTTTTCCAGTGGGTTTTATGAAGACAGTTTCCAAAGATCAGCTTCAATGCTAGGTGCTATTTGATTCACTAACAATGGCACAAAGGAATACCATTCACTCTGGGATTCTCCTGGAGAAGACAAGAGCCTGGATGTCCTCTATTTCCCAAATCTAACTCACATCTGCCAGGCAGGTGGTGCCTGCCACTCCACAGGGCAAATCTATGTAGGTCTCACGCCCACCTTGTCCAAGACCCTAGCTCTGAGCCATCCCATCTTCAGGCCTCACAAAGGCAATTGCAAAGCCCTTCACAGGGTCACTGTCAAGTTCTCAGATGGGTCACTCTGTTTGACTCTAGAACATGTAACGCCAAACAGGGAGGCAACATGACAGGTGCTAACGGTGACACAGTGACAGAAACAGGATGCTTGTGGCAGCTGGGCCAGTGTGGCCTTTGAGTTGCTCTGGCTTTGGAACTGGAAATTTCCACAGAGTACGAGGAAAGTACTATGAGGCACTGTCATCTCTGGATGTTTGTTTGTGTCCTCAGTGAATGATGTTGAAGAGCCCTGGATAAGGATTTTTTTTTTTTAGATCTGCAGGTACCCTGAAAGTCCCGTAGAGGGCTATGGGCCTGTTTCTTCCAACTGTGAGTGGTGACAATAAAGTCTATGGTACTGTGGGGATTGTACTGTGTACTGTCTGCTTGGAACCATGTTTGAACACAGCTACTAATGGGGGTTCCGCCCACAGCCCTTATCCATTGCACACACACTCAGAAGCTGGGGAACATCTGGGTCTATATAGGATACCAGAAATGAGGGCAGGAATAGGCATCAGATAGGCAGCAACTAAACTAACCATTCAGAGTTACATGGACAGAGATCAAGCATCTGCTTTTTTTTTTTTTTTAAATGAAAATGGGATTCTCGAGCAGGAGTTGTACTCAGCCCTGAAGGTCAAGGGCAGGCAAGGCCATCTCACACAGTCACACTCAAGCAGCCCCCGAACACAGTAAGCCCCGTGGCTCTGAGTTAGACCACACAAGGCTGTGAATATCAGAAGCCTCAGGTAAGGCCAACTGCTGGTGGCCAGGAGTGTTGAGACCAGTGTGTAATTTGCAACAACACATAGCACTGGACAATGCAGCAAGGCTAAGATTTTAACACTACCACCACCAAAGACCTTAACACCACTTACTAGCTTATCTTTAAATGGCCCTAATGATAATCCATAGTAATCCGTGTCACAAGCACATGTCACACAGGGTAGGCAAACCCCTCTGGGCAGCAAATCCCAAATGGGCACAGCAGTGGTATGGTGGGTGGCTCTAAGCTGAACTTTGAACCTTGGGAGGGTCACCTCAACCAGATGGGCCTCAGAGTCCTTGTGTGTCCTGAGGCTGGGTCCCAGCCATCAGCAGCCATGACTGCATTAGTTCTCACAGGATCCAACACCACCCCTCTGTAGACAAGGGGGCAGCACCTACCTGCAGGGGCTGTTGGTGCCTTGCCAGCGTTCTGGGCTTCCATCGGGGGTGAAGATCTGAGCAGTTCCTGGTGATGATGCCTGTGGTATAAACACATGGTATTAACACACGATATAAACACACGGTATAAACACACAACAGATGCTGGAGGGGATGTGGACAGAAGAGAACCTTACTTCATTATTGGTGGGAATGTAAACTTGTTCAACCACTTTGGAAAGCAGTATGGAGGTTCCTCAAAAGACTTCACATAGAGCTCCTCTATGACCCAGCAATCCCACTTTTGGGCATTTACCCAAATGTTTACAAACAAGACCACACTAAAGCTACCAGCACAACTATGTTTATTGAAGCATTATTTACCATAGCTAAGATATGGAACCAACCCAGATGCCCCTCAGTAGATGAATGGATCAAGAAAATGTGGTATACACAATGGAATTCTATGCCTCCATCAGAAAGAATGACATTGCCCCATTTGTTAGGAAATGGAAAAACTTGGAAAAAATTATATTAAGTGAAGTATGCCAGGCCCAAAGAAACATAGGTCCCATGGTTTCCCTTATTTGCAATATCTAGTATATGTTTGAGTCATGCAGGAAAGGTCAGATAATGTGATGTTAGGAAAATGAACCCTTAGATATGTATTTTAATGTTTTTTTCTTATGTCCCTCCCCCACAGTATAACCCCTGCTTTCACTATATTTGATGTCAGTATAACTTGTGGAGGAGATGGGGAAAAACCAGTTGTTTAAGGATACACGTGGACCTGTTGCAACAATGAGAAGTACAAGTTGTCATCTCAAAAGTGAGTTTTACAATGTTGGTGTGGGGGGGGGAGGGGGGAGGGTTGGGTGGGGGGGAGGCTGGGAAGGGATGTGAAGGGTAAACCAAAGGAGGAGGCTGCAATGCTTGATAAGAAATGTATGCATTATCCTGCCCATGTAATTGTAACCCCTCTGTACAGTATGTTCACACAAAAAAAATTAAATAAAAAAAAATAAACACACGGGATTAAGTGTGCTGTGCTCCAGGCCCCAAAGCCACCCACCCCCCTCCTCCTGCCAACAGGCTCTCAGAGCTTAAGCTTCAGCCTACTCCTTCACTCATTCTGCAAATACTCAAGAGCCTCCTGCCTGCCAGGCATCGTGCCAGGTACTGGGACAGAAAGTAGATGCCACCTGGGTCCTTACAGAGACCTAGTGAACACTGTTGATTGTTATGTGTGGCTGGTGAAAGCTGCCAAGTTAGCTTCGTTCTATTCTTTCTATAATTCTCAGTGAATCATATGAGTTGTGTTGAGCAGGAGTTAAGGATAGGCTACTACAGACAGACAGACAGACAGACAGACAGACAGACAGGCAGACAGACAGACAGACAGGCAGACAGACAGACAGACAGACAGACCTAAGTTCAAAATACACATTTTAATTTAGCTAGTAGGGATGGCCATAGCTTTTGTGAAAGGAACTATACATTAAGCACTTGTACAGTATAGGCCATACCTAGCTCCAAATAAACTAAAGTGGATTAAAAATGCAGTGATATGCATGGGCTCATGCCTATAACCCTAGCGACTCAGGAGGCTGAGATCTAAGGCTCGTAGGTTTGAAGCCAGGCTGGGCAAGAAAGGCCATGAGATCCTTATCTCCAATTAACCACCTAAAAATACAGAAGGGGAGCTGTGGCTCAAAGTGTCTAGAATGCTCGCTTTAAGCAAAAAAGTTCAAGGACAAAAGAAAACCTCAGAGGATAGTATCCAGGTCCTGAGTTCAAGCCCTATGACTGACAAAAAAAAAATCAATAAAATGGCCAGGCACAGGCAGGTCACTCCTGTACTACTGGGGATGTAGAGACTGAAAGGATTGTAGTTCAAGGTCAGCTCAGACAAAAAGTTTATAAGCCAACCCCTCCAATAGCTGTACCAATAGCTGGGTACAGTGACAGATGTCTGTCATCCTAGCGACAGCAGGATGCCTAAATGACCTAAGTAGAGGATTTTAGTCCAAGCTGGCCAAGGCAAAAGATCAAGACTTGAGAAGAAAGGGCTCAAGTAGTGGAGGAGCCTATTTGAATTCAAACCCCACCAATGCTGGAAAAACAAAATGCAAGAGGATGATGGAAAAGAGCCAGAGCCTGGCTCCCCCAGTGGTTGGATGTGGACCCTGGGCAATGACTTCAGGTGAGTGTGGATGGTTCTGAGACCCTTCCACCTCAGCCTCGGGTAGGAGAGGAAGGAATTCATTCCCAGCAAGTGCTCAAAGCACTTCCCAGATGACTGTCTAATCCTATCACCCATGTGGCACGGGCAGCCTTTTAAGCAATTTATCTTTCTCGAATCATGAGATGCCTGCAGCTCCTTCCCTCATCACACACAGGGGGTCACTGCACAGCCTTTCCTGCTTACCTCAGCACCTTCACCGTCTCCATCCACTGCGCCTGCTCACTCTCCCAGGGGTCCACGCGGATCCAGTCGGACGTCTGCAGAGCCAGCCGGGCCATGGCCACTCGGTGATGGGAAGCCACCAGGTCTTTCTTTCTGTAGTGGTCACTGACAGGTGAGATGATGCCCTGGATCACCTGGTATATTCCTAGGCAGAGGAGAGCAGTGATGCTGGAGGTTCAGACAAACACTTGGCACTAAAAATCTCTGATTTGTCTTGGGTGGGGAACACCTGGCATTGTCTCCCAGGTGGTCCAAAGGCTGGGGAGAAGTTGCAACCTCAGTGACTTCATGCTTTACCACAGTCTTCTATAATCCAGAGCAGCCCTTCTGCAGGAAGGAAGGCTGCAGAGCAATGAGGACAGAATATGTTGGAGATACGTTACAACGTACTGTGTGGGATAAATCATCTATTAAGTCATAGCCTGAAGTCGGTGGCTCGTGCCTGTAATCCTAGCTACTCAAAAGGCTGAGGTCTGAGGATCAGATGGGTTCAAAGCCAGCCTGGGCAGATAAGAGTCTCCAGGTTACCTGGAGACTCTTATCTCCAATTAACCACCAGAAAACTGGAAGTGAAGCTGGGGCTCAAAGTGGCAGAGTGCTAGCTTTGAGTAAAAGAGCTCAAGGATAGCACCCAGGCCCTGAGTTCAAGCCCCATGACCAAAGCCTTGGCTCCAATGGATTCTTTTTGAACCCAGATCCTCCTGCATATAATGTAAGCACCCTACCACTTGAGCCACTCCCACCCCCAGCCCTTTTGCTTGTTTCTTTTGCTTTTAAGACAATACCTTACTACACTTGCCAGGGCTAGTCTATAACTTGTGCTATTTCCTGCCTCTATCTTCGCAAGTAGCTGGGATGACAGGTACACCCTCCCACAACCAGCTCCAAAGAGGATCTGAAGGCTGAAAGATGAGAGGATGGGAATTAGGAAGAACCAGGCTTGGTGGGTGATGAAATATATGTCCTGGAGGGATGAGCTGTCAATGGAGGGGAAGTGTATTCAAGGAACAGACCCAGGCTGAGCTGGTTTGCAGTGAAATCTTCCCTGCGGACCTTGTGAACCTATGGGGAATTCAGCTGATGAGAGATACACTAAAAATCAGGACACCTGCACAGGAGGACCCCAGATGGTATTAACTATACTACTATAAGAGATGTTTCCTAGCCAGGCTCTGGTGGCTCATGCCTGTAATCCTATCTATTCAGGAGGCTGAGATCTGAGGATCTGAGGTTCAAAGGCAGTTTGGGCAGGAAAGTCCGTGAGACTCTGATCTCCAATGAACCACCAGAAAACCGGAAGTGGCGTGGTGGCTCAAGTGGTAGAGTGCTAGTCTTGAGCTGAAGAGCTGAGGGACAATGCCCAGACCCAGTGTTCAAACCCTACGATGGACAAAAAAAGAAAAAATAAATAAAAGAGAGGTGTTTCCTGTTACCTCTAGTTTTAGGGCTTCCTTCACATGTGAATACTGCATTTTATCAAATGCTTTTTTTTTGGGGGGGGTCTATACCTCTTGAAATAATTGTGATTTTTCTCTCTCCTTTGGTCAGTTAATATAGTGGATTGCGCTGATTAATCTTCCAATCTTCAACCAACATTGTATTCCTGAGATTAAATCCCACTAGGAAGAGATACCTTATCTTTTTTATGTATGGATGGGTCTACTCTGCTAGTTCTTTATAGGAAGGGAGACAGGTCTATAACTCTCTTTCCTCTTTCCATCCTAATCAGGTTTTGGTATCAAGGTTATACCAGCCTTACAGAGTTTACTGGCCAGGGGAGCTTTCTGAATTCCAAGCCGACAAAACTAAGTTTTTCTTCCACATTTGGGAGAACTCATCAGTGAGATCTTTGGAGTCTGGAGCATCATTTGTACAAAAAAAAGAGTTTAGACTGCTGGTATAAGATGGTATGGATTTAAAAAAATTTCTTCAGTATACTTTGTGGCAACTTACACCTGTCTAGGTTTTTGTCCACAACCCAAAAGATTTAAGATTTCCTGACCCATGGCTCTTCATGAACAGCACACTAAGGTGTTTTACATCTGAATCATGTGCAGTGAAAGCTGGGTCATTCCTAAAGTTATGTGTCTCCTTTCTCTTTCTTCTTGCAGTGTTGTTAGAGCATGGCTGTTTTATTAGTCTTTTCAAATAACAGTCTTTTATTAGTCTTTTCAAAGAATAAACATATTGACTTTCTCTAGTGTATGCTTGTTTTCTGTTTCACCAATTTTTTAAAATCTTTCTAAAAACTAATTCTATTACGCTCTTCTCTTGGTATTCTTTTCCTGTCTTTTTTCCCCCTACCTTCTTGGGGCATCTGCTCAGCTAATGAATGAATGTGCAATCTGAGATTAGCCTTATTTACTAACTGGAAGATAGAAGATTTTCGACATATTTTCCATCTTTGTTAATCTGGGTTGTTCTGGGTGTTCTTCCTGGAGACTGATTCAAGGCATGGTAAACACCAGCTGAGGACTGGAGATGATGCTCAGGCTCCTAGAACTCACTTCGGAGGTACCACTTGTAAAGGTGAAAGCTTTCATTTGTATGAGCCAGGATATGGAAGGGGAAAACGGTTAAGTTCTTTTAAAAATCACAAAGCAAGCTGGACACCAAGAGCTCACACTTATAATCCTAGCTACTGAAGAGGCTGAGATCTGAAGATCATGGTTCAAAGTCAGACTTGGTAGGAAAGTCCAGACTCTTCTATCTAATTAACCATGCAAAAAAAATACAACCAAACAAACAAAAAACCAAGAAGTGCAGCTATGGCTCAAGTGATAGAGCACCAGCCTTGAGAAAGCTAAGGGATAACACTCAGGCACGGAGTTCAAGCCCCAGTACTGGAATCAAATAAAGAAAAAGAAAAGAGAAAGAAAAAAGAAAGGAAGGAAGGAAAGAAGAAAGGAAGAAAGGAAAGAAGAAAGGAAGAAAGGGAGAGATAAAGCAAAGAAGAAGAAAAAAAGCTGAAAGTAAAGCCCAAGAACTCAGAGTACAGAGTTTTACTCAAATACAGAGACAATCAGATGAGGAGTTGTAAAAATAGAAATGAAAAGCCATTTGTGGACTGAGGGTAGAGGAGGTATCTTCAGCAGCAGAGGTAGAAAAGAGGCTGGAAGAAAGACGTCTGGTTCAGAAAACTGACACTAGGTAAGGCCTGCTCCCCCTGCATTCCGTTACCCTTCATCGGTGGATAAGCCTGGGTGGTGCTGAAGTCAGAAGGCTATAGTTAAGGAGTCCACTCAGCTCCTGTTTTATCTCCCTCCTGGAATTCTGGGAGGAGAGCATCTCACCTTGCAGCAAACACTCTCTGGTAGATGAATGAAGAGAGGAGGGCGGGGGGTTCAATATGTATCCTGTGAAACTATGAAAACTGAGGGAAGAGGTGGGAAGGGATGGGGAGACTGATGGAAGGGGTGATACTGATCAGGATGCATTGTACTCATAAACTGAGTGCTGAATAATCCCTTTACATATAGTTAAAGATAATAAAAATACAATTTAAAAAACACCCCCTTGCTCAGCTTCTGCAAAGCCTGCATCTGTGAAAACTCCCAAGGCTCTGTGAATGTAGTTTTATGGACAAGGACCCAGTCAGGTTGTTCTGCTGGGCATCTCTGGTCCCCAGGTGTCACTTAGGATGGCTGAGCTCATCCTGACAGCACAGTTTTGCACACTGAGAAATCAATGTTTGTGTGTGTGTGTGTGTGTGTGTGTGTGTGTGTGTGTGTGTGTGTTAGCATCCAGGGGGAAATCAATGTGTGTGTGTGTGTGTTTTAGCATCCAGGGGGAAATCAATGTGTGTGTGTGTGTGTGTGTGTGTGTGAGAGAGAGAGAGAGAGAGAGAGAGAAAGATAGCATCCGGGGGAAATCAATGTGTGTGTGTGTGCGTGTGTGTGTGTGTGTGTGTGTGTGTGTTTAATAGCATCCAGGGGGAAAGAGTCAATAAAAATAACAATTTGAACTAAAACTTCTGCTTGCCCTCTAAATGTCCATGAGTCTGAGCCCTTTCCCTTCCTTTCTGCTCTTGGTCGAAATCCCAGTGGTGCCTTTTAGGTGAGCCATCTTTCCCTCCACCCTCCATCACATGTGGACAGTTCTCTTACAACCCTCTGTGGCCAGGCTCAGCACTTGTAGGATAATGATCTGCCTGCCCTCATCTTTCCCAAGAGACACAGAGTTCCTGAAGGGCATGAACTTGAACTTGTCTTTTCTTTCTAGGAAGCGGGCACTGCACACCAGTTAATCCGAAGCGATACCATCTGTACCCTGGGGTTATCAAAACAATACCTGACTGTGATTTTAACATGACAGCGAGCATTCCCTGTTTATTTCTTCCTTCTCTCTGGAAACTAGCAAGGTAGCATTAAGAAAATAATGATGAAATCACAGCAACAACAGGGGTAGTTTAGCTCTGGGGGCATTCATCTCTTGCTGTTTACTTGCCTTACTATATTTATTACATATATTCGCTATAGTATATTGTGACTGTTACATAGGAAGCCTCATGCTTGGGCTGGTTTATTTTGAAGCTAGGTTACCTTACTGAACTTGTTAGTTCCATATAGTTTTTTGAAGGCTTCTGGGTTTTCTAGGGGTACGGTAACATCACCTGAGAATAATGAAAACTCAGTTTTAATTCCTTGTTTGTAGCAATAAGTGAACTATGATATAACGAGGGACAACTATCTAACACTGCTATTTCTTTTTTTTTTTTTTGGGTCCGGTCATGGGGCCTGAATTCTGGGCCTGGGCGCTGTCCCTCAGCTCTTAAGTTCAAGGCTAGCGCTCTACCACTTGAGCCACAGCACCACTTCCGGCTTTTTTTCTTTTTGCTTATGTGGTGCTGAGGAATCGAACCCAGGGCCTCAGGCATGCAAGGCAAGCACTCTACCACTGAGCCACCTTCCCAGCCCTAACACTGCTATTTCTGAAGTGTGAAGCCATTACCCATCATGCTGGGGAGAGATCCTTATAGTTCGAATTTAGTAAGAGAGTTAGAAAAATTCCTGGGTAGACACTGGATTTTATTGGATGACTTAAGTATGTATTGAGATGATGATTTAGGGTTCATAAAAAATATATGTCATCTTAGTAATATGAGATATTAATAGGTATCTTTATAGTATATTGTCCTTGAATACC